ATATCTGTGTTGCTCTGCTTAGTTTTGATTTGACACTGCCCACCACTGTCATGTGGCCCTCAGAATGTTTCTCAGAAGGAAACTTGGCCCTTGAGCCGAAAATGTTCTTTACCCTTGGTACAACTGGTTGACTATCACTATGGCTGAGTATCTTATATCTCCCTGCATTAGAAAATGTCATCTCTTCAACTAAGCCAACCTATAAGAATATGGTTTCCTCTCAGTTGAATGCTATCATAGGCAAAAGAAAGACAAGCCAGTAGAAAATAGATTTTCGAAGATACAACACATCACTGGGTGATGATATTTCCTACTATCTATGATTGAGAGTGAGCTACACTGGCATCTTCTGATGGAGGAATTTTGTCTTTTGAAACACCTGCCTCTAAATAACTACATCAGCTCACTTATCCTCAGTAACTGTAAGAAAGGGGGGAAAACATTCTCCAATCATCACTTGTTATCTCCATTTCGATCTTTCCTGTCTTTTTTTATCTGCTCTCTAGGGATGCAGTGACAGGATGTTCAGATGATGCTTACCTTTCATACCAGGTGTGAAACTTACCACTACCAGCAGCAGATGGTAAAGATGTTGCAAGGATATCCCATGAAACTCTGATGTGTTTTTTATCCTGTCTAGCATTTGGGGATTAGCCCTGCTATCTTGGCTCAATCAGAATGTTGGCTAATTGCATTGGCTAATTACGTTAGACAGCACTGCGCTTCTTAAAACTGAGAAATTGCATTTTTCTTAACCACTGTGCAGCCCACTGCACCGCTGGTACACAAAGGTAGTGTTGAGATTCTGTCCAGACCACTGGCTGCATTTCAAAAAAGGATGGAACTCTTCCATTAGGAAATCCCAGTTATGGGTACTGTTGCTTGCTTCAAATGAACGGAATCACAGGAGAGGCTTCCAATGTAGCTAAATGGCCAGGAAGCAGAGGAATGTCAACAACTAACAAAGCTGCACCAGGAGACAAAACAAATACTAGAAAGGACTGGTCCATTTTCTTCCTGGCAAAAGAATAGCACTGGGGAGTTTGGGAGCCAGCTGCTATTGTTTTCAGGTTGCAGTCCACATGCTGGCATCCTGTCCGGGATATCTCAATGGTGCTAATAGGGCTACTCCACAGCTGCTGTGGGGCAGTTAAGCTTTTACGTTAAGTCATGGGTAGGCAAACTAAGGCCAGGGGCTTGATCCAGCCCAGTCGCCTTCTAAATCCAGCCCATGGACAGTCCAGGAATCAGCGTGTTTTTACATGAGTAGAGTGTGTCCTTTTATTTAAAACACATCTGTGGGTTATTTGTGGCGCATACAAATTTGTTCATTTCTTCCCCCAAAATATATTCCAGCACCCCACAAGGTCTGAGGGACAGTGGACCAGCCCCCTGCTGAAAAAGTTTGCTGATCCCTGCCTAAAGTGAACTAGAGATAGCATGGACTTTCAAATGGAATTTACTCCTAGGAAGGGGTTATAGAATTGCAGCCTTCAATATGAAGATCATCAACAGATCTTCAGAAAGAGAGAGCCAAGTAACTGTTGGCTTTTATAATGTCAAAAGGAAAACAAGCATTGCAACTTCACACTAGAATGTCAAGACATTTAAATCACATTTGGCCTAACAATCAAAACAGTAATTCTTTCAATATTTTTCCTGGAAATGGACCTCATAGAACGTAACAGACCTGAATATGTCTGAGTAGGCTGCTTCTGTGTAAAGATTGTAACAATTTCAGTTCTCTGCATTCCCATGTCTGTTTTTTAAAGCCCTCCTGAAATTTACATTAGCATTTTAGTGTACATTTCTCCTACCATACATATTTGCGTACACTATTTTGCCCAGCCCAAACATTTCCGCAAGGCAATTTCCTCTAATATAATGCATGTTTGTATGTTATTTTCACTAATATAATGTACTGTGTACACTTTACCCCAGTGTGTATGCAGTTTGGCACACATTACTCGGCCAGAGAACTGCATCGCAAAATTAGGAGAAGTGAAAATTTTGACCAAAGCTGTTTTTCAATTCCTGCATTGTTTCAAAACATGCCAATGAAGTAGTAGTAGTAGTAGTAATAATAATAATAATAATAATAATAATAATAATAATTTATTTATACCCCACCCATCTGGCTGGGCTTCCCCAGCCTCCCTGGGCGGCTTCCAAAAGAATATTAAAATACATCAAACATTAAAAGTAGGTACACTTTATATGTGAAGGGAATAAAACTGATCCCTCGTTCCTATGTCCGAGTATAGGTGTGTCTAAAAGATATTCCATTTCTGCAGTGAACGCAGACACAAATAATTCACACAGCGTTTTTGTGCTCTTGTGTTCATGTCCCGCTTGCTGGCTTCCCATAGGCATCTAGCCAGCCACTGTGAGAACAGAATATTGTACTAAATCCTCTTACATTATTATTCAGTCTCCTTATACTCCATTAGCTCCCCATCATCTAACAGTCCAACTACCTCCCTAGCTGTTTTCCTATTTCAGGTGGGTTGTTTTTTTTAAAAAAATTATTGCTCCTCAACCAAAAAAAAGCACCTTATTTTCTGTTTGCTTTTCAGGGGGAAAGTTTGTGTTCCTTTTTTGTTCTCCTATTTTTATTTTTTTGAAGGAAACCTTCTTGCCTCTAATAGCTTTCTTGGCTCTACTCATTAATCACAGTGGCATCTTCTTGGACTTGGTGGTACCTTTCCTGATATGCACTATATATTCTAGCTGAACTTCTGTTATTGTGGTTCAGAATAATCCCCAAGCTTTGTAGAGATCTGTCTCTCTTTTTAGTTTTCCATTTCAACTTCCTTTATGCCAGCCCTCTCATTTTTTGAGAAATGCCCTCTTTTGAAGTCAAACATAACTGAACAAGATTTCTTTGGCATTTGTTGACCTACGGATAGACTGGATTTCGTGGCATTGTGGTCACTGTTTCCAGTCAGTTCAACAACACTTAGGCCTTGCTTACAGGTTCTGGGTACCACTTAAGATTAAATCCAGGATTGCCTCCACTCTGGTCTGTTCCATCCCTATCTATTCTAGGGCACAGTCCTTTAGTGTGTCTAGAATTTTTACCTCTTTATCAGAACACACATTTTTCCAATATATGCGTGTCTAATCAAAGGCACCTATTACTACACTTTCATTTGAGTACTTTATGATTTCATTCTCTATCTCAAGATCACCCTTAGCATTTGGGCCAGGAAGGGAAGAATAATATATCCTCGATACTAAAAAAAATTATATATATGTAAAAAAACTGGATCTGGTATAGCCACTCGTGATGATTCTGTAAAGATGTCTGCCCCATTTGAGATTTCTGGCTTGTTTGACTCTATGCCTTCTTTGATGTATATAGCAACACCACTCTCAGTATGTCATTCCTTGCCCTTCATACAGAGTTTATATCTATGGATAACTATACTCCAGTGGTTCTCTCCATTCCACCAGGTTTCCAGAATGCTGATTACATCTCTAAAGCCAGCCATTCCAACTCCCCATCTTGGCTCAGAGGATTCTAACCTTGGCATAGAAAGAGCTGTAAATATTGTCCAATTCCCAACAACTTGGTTGTGCTACATGATTGCAAAAACCACTTCCTTTCACTCTTAAGATGGTTATGAACTGTGGACAGAGGCTTTCCCATGATATCTTCCAATATGTTTTGTCTCTTCCCTCTCCCTTCCTTTTTGCTTAACGTGTAGCTCAAATAAGAATTCTGGTGAATCTGAAAGCTTTGTAGCATTTCAGATTTTCCTGTTAAACTTACTACACTACCGTTGTGTTTCTCTCTCTCTCTCTCTCTCTCTCTATATATATATATATATATATTTAATGGGTCCAAACTGCTACCTGAAATTTCTCCTTACTTAGGAAAGCTGTAGCTATTAGCATGACAAAGAAACAAAATTAAAATTGACAAGAAACTAGCTAGTAAAGCCTCGTCCACAAGTAGGAAGCTGCACCTGACTCATTAATGTCCAATTAAGGACCAATAACCATGAATCCCCTGTCCTGCTCTGCAGTCAGTTGAAAAGGAGACAGAAACCTAAAAGAAAGAAGCTTCTAACAAAAGGCCAAGTATTCTGCTGGAGAGAACCTCCTGCTTATCCCATGAGGTTCATGTCACACAATTTAGAATGAGGCCTTTACCTACCCCTTGCCATTTCTCCCCATTAAATATTAGACAGGTTCTGTCTATCATCTTTTCATGACTGCTGAATACCTTCTTCATTCAGTGAGCCTACAAAGTAGAAATCTTTCGTTCCTGCATCTACACTGAATTGAATTTTTAGATCTTTAACCTATCTATCAACTGTATGTTTGTCACCCTGGAATCCTTTGAAAGGAAGGATAAGATATAAATTTAATTAAACAATGACAATGATAATGTTGCCAGTCCACACTGGACAGGCTGGTTCTGCAACTGAATTTGAAAGGGTGTGTGTGCCACAAATGAGGTCTGGTGCCAGGGTGGGGGAGAGATTTCACAGAAAATGAACACAAGAGGTTGGCAAAAACACCATATGGATTCTCTGTAAAAAGAGAATTAATTAAAGATAAGAATTCCAGATGAAAGGGTTAGCGTGGAAGCAACCAAAGTCATATGGAATTCAATTCAAAGCATGGCATGTTTGCCGAACCATTATTTACTTCTCAAGTGCTTTTCTCTATTATTCTTGTTATTTATTCCTCCAGTACAAGTGCTTTACCATTCTTATCTCACTTGCACTGCAACAACCTTCTGAGATAATATTAGGCTGAGAGATAGTGATGTTTCTCAAGGCTAGCCAATGACCATCTTGCAGTTCCGCCAGTTGTCCCTGAAGCAGTAAGAGACTGTGATATAATCAAGTTATAGAAATCAAGTCTCAGAAATTAAACTGGCTGCTTGCCGGCTCCTTAGCAATGGGGGCAGTGTCACATTTGCTAAGCAGAAATAATAAGTAAAGCTGTGGAAAAGCAAGTTCTGGGGAGCAGATTGGTATGGAAAGGCTGTAGCTCAATGGTAGAGCATCTGCTCTGCATGCAAAAGGTCTTGGGTTCAAATCCCGGCATCTCCTGGCAGAGTGGGAATTTAACCCCCTTGAGAACTGTTGCTAGTCAGTGTGGACAGCACTGAGCTAGATGAGTCAATGTCCTGACCCAGTATGATTTTCATTTATTTAATTAATTTGTATATCTCCCTTCAACCAAAGATCACAGGGTGGTTCATAGCATAAAAATACAAAAATGAGAACACAAAATACACAGTCAAACAAAAACAAAACTTTACGGCCCTTGCACAGAATTTTCGTTACAGCAATGTGACTTCGGCAGCTCAACTGGTTCAGCTGGATTCATTTTATTTATTTTTAACCTTATTCCATTCATGAATCACTCTGCAAAAAATATCTCAAAGAGATTCTACAAAACAAATGTCAGCAATGTAGAGAAATACAGCATCTATAAAAACAATTACAACAATAAAATAACAATAAAAAAGTCAAAATGCTTTCCTATGTAAAATAATAATAATAATAATAATAATAATAATAATAATAATAATAATTTATAAATCTAATTCAATGGAGATACAGATTAGGATAAAGCTCTCCACTTAAAAAGCATGTTGAAAAAAAGAAGGTTTTCAAAAGACACTGAAAAGACAATAGAAATGGTGTCTGATACGTAGTGGGAGGAAGTCTCAAAGTGTGGTTGCTGACACATTAAAGACTGAATTTATATTGTACAGAGTGGATCTCATGATGAGATGTTTGACATGCCTATTGCCATTTCCTCCACAGTAATGTATACCTCCCGGATTGTGTACCTATTGTGAAGACTCAAGATCTATCAGCGATCAAGATTCAGAGTAAGAGGTAGTGGAGTCTACAGCTATGAAGTCAGATCAGGAGACCACTGAGCCTCTGGCTGATAAGACTATGGAACATACAGCCCCACCACCACCACCATCAGGTTTTGTAAAGTCAGAACCAGAGACAGACATTCACAGGGACCTTCCTCTGAGGCTGGGGGACCAAATATCTGACTTAAGGAGCCCAGCAGTACAGAAGCTCTGCAACAGAGTGCCTGTCTTTATGTCAGAGAATTCTCTCAGTAAAAGGTGCATAGCCTGGAAGAGGTAATTTGGGGACAGATGTTTGAAAAGGTTCTGTCTGCTCTAAACCTATGTTAAAGTAGGTTGCTCACTCAGAGCTGTCCGTGGTCCTGCAATTTCTCTATGGGATCTGGCATCAGGTACGAACATCATCATCAATTATTTCTACCCCACCCATCTGACTGGGTTTCCCCAGTCACTCTGGGCAGCTCCCAACAGAATATTAAAACACGATAAAACATCAAATATTAGTATCCTTAAAATTTTTTTTGGGAAATTTTTGTTGTTATTTTTTGAAAATTCAATAAATATCAATTATTAAAAAAAAAACATCAAATATTAGGACTTCCAGGGTGGCGCCATCGGCAATGGCGGACTCCCTCTGATCTGGAGGGACTAGCTCCGCGCGAAACGGGTCTTTTCCGCTACGGCGAAGCGGGGACCCTTTTAAAAATCACAGGCGGATGAAGCCTGTGACCATGGGACTCGGCGGGCACCCTTAGCGCCCCCCCACCCGCAAAGGAACCCACTAACGGGCTCCGAAGCGAAGAGGGGGAAGTAGCGCGGTGCTGAGAGTCAACTGCTTTTTCCGTGGAGCGTTCAGCAGGGCTGGTGCCACTACTGAGAAGACCCTCTTCCTGGTTCCCTGTAACCTCACTTTTTGCAGTGAGGGAACCGCCAGAAGGCCCTCGGAGCTGGACTTCAGTGTCTGGGCTGAACAATGGGGGTGGAGAGGGCTGTGGTCTGAAGGGACATGATACAGTGGCCTTGTGAAAATTAAACAGGTCTGGACGTGCCTGGATGGGAGAACTGGCTGGCAATCCCATGTATGCCACCTTGAGAATCTTAATAGAAGAAAGGTAGAATCTTAATAAATATACAAATTTCATGCATGCATCCATCTTTTAAAAGCACCCTCAAATCCTTTGCAAATGAAATGCTTATCAGATTAGAAGAGATGCTATTCAGTAAGAAGCACTCCTTGGCGGTCCTTCATTTCTAAACATATTCCCATTGGATATACGTGTGTTCTTGGAATATGCATATAAGGTTTGCAAAATAATCTGATCTCTCAAGGGAACAGATTAGTTGAGCAGAACCAATGCTTGCTCAAATCCATCACTGTGCCTCAGCAAGACAGCCATGACAACTGGGGTTCGCAAGCAACTATTTCACATTTCCATAAATCTGGGATATGGAGGCACATGGGGGGGGGCAGGGCAGGTGGAGAGAGGAAGTCCCATTTCATGAGTGGGAGTTGTTCTGCTCATGCAATGACTTTGCTGGATTCAATCCATTGTGTTCAACACTTCACAATTGTGGAGATCCTCTCACATAGCAATGGACATGAAAAGATATGAGAACCGGGACCAGAAGGAGGAGATTGTGGGAATGGTCTGAATGCAAGCTTGAGCAGACAGTTTTTCTCCCTTAGAGTTCAGCCCATTTTTTCCTTATAGTCTCTTTGGCAGTTGCTCTAGAAGCATTTTTACTGTCCAGTTGTTTATTTCTTCATTCATTTGGTTGCAGAGAGGAGGGGGAGTAAGAGAAATACCAGCAGTTGCCTCAAGGAGGCTGACATGCTATTTGGCTGAGAAGTGAAAAGAAGTAGAGAGAGGGAAGGGATGTTTTCTGTCTCCCTCCTCATGTTTCCCAGGAATTCACCAAAATGCTCACACATCCTCACACATTTCCTGCTTTCAGATGTGAAGGAAAGAAAAAGAGAGGAGGGGAGGGGGAAGACCATTGTTTTCACTAAGAAAACCAACTAGCATGTTTAGGAAGAAGAACCATAATTCAGTGGCAGAACATGTGTCTTGGATGCAGACGGTCCCAAGGTTCACTTTTTGACATCTCTAAGTAGCACTGGCAGAGGCCTAGTGTGAAATCTTGGAGAGCTTTTACCAGTCAGTGTAGACAATTCTGTAGACCAAGCATGAGAAATGTTTGGACCCCCATATGTTGCTAATCTACAACTCTCTTCAGTTCCAGCAAGCATGGCCAATGACCATGGGTTGGTGGGAGTTGTAGTTCTGCAACATCTGAGGACCAAAAGTTCCCCACAATTTCTGTCAACCAATGGCCTGACGTGGTGTAAGGCAACTTCCTATGCTCTGTGTTCTGTCCTAATCTACTTCAACAACTTTGTGTGGGAAGAACACCTCAGCCATCTTCTTCTTCTACTCTGTAGAAATTAATTCAGGCTAGTCAATATCTCTTCACCAAGCCTATGACAAATGGCAGGAAAGAGGAAGAAGCACATACACACCTTTCTGAAACACAGCAGAACATCCACCATCTCTTCCCATCAGCTCTACAATTTCTAATTTCTACCTTCATACTCCACCTTTGGATGACTGGAGTTGCTCCATTCCATTGCTTCAATCTTCCCTGCATTCCACCCTTCCTTTGCCCCTGTCGAATTGGGGCTGTATTCAGACAGAACTTTTTTCCACCTTCACATTTCCTTGCCAGTTCATTATCACATTTTACCTTTCACACAACACAAAAGCCATTTCTGGGAATCTAGTGCAATCTAGCAGACCTTTAGCAGTTGTTCCCTTGCTATTTTTCCCCAGCAAATAAAAAAGCTTGCAATCCCATTAACTTGGAAAATTGCTGAAATCTTGCATTGATGGAATTTGGGGTGGTAGGACAGCGTATAGTCCCCAATTCTGCACCTTGGAAAGATACCACCCCGCAAAGAATATTGATACAGCTGAATGTTCCATCAGATCTGATTTGCTTTTGAGCACACGATACACCGCGGTGCACATGGGCATTGATAAAAAAAATGCTATAAAAAATAATAATCTTGATGCAATTGCATGCCTGATGTTCTCAATGAGATTGCTTTTGTCGAGTGGTTTGTCAATGTGCAGAAAGGTGGGAAACACAAATAATGACTTGAAAGCTGTAGTGTGAACCTTTGGGGTTATATGCAATGCTAGTCCTACTTGAAGCAGAGCCATTGAAATTAATGAACTTGACTAACTTAGGTTCATTAATTTCATCGGGTCTGCTCTGAGTAGAATTTAGTCGTGTCATCATTTGTGAGTTAAAGTGAGGTAGAGGTTTTTAACGACACTATATATGCTAATTAACTTACCAATGCCAGATATCTGTGCTGTTTCTTATTTCTTGTGAATGGTTCCCTGCACCACTGCTGATATAAATACAATCATGTCATCATTGATGAGTATGTCATCACCAGTCTGTTACTGTAAAAGGCATGCCTATTGAACATAACTTAGGCTCCTATCATCACAAACTGTAATTTTTTGCATTTCATTGCCACTGATCTCCCACCTTCCAATTTTCTATTTTTATGTACCTGTCAGCCAGTGCTAGCACTACTTAAAGAAGACTCATTGAATTTTTTTACATTGAATAATGGATAGCATCACTTTCACAGCAGAGTGATGAGCAAGTAATTTATAAGTCCAAAGTCTAGGGAGACATTCAGAACAGGAGCATCTCTGGCTCTTAAGTTTAACCAGCAGTTGTGCGGTGTGTGTGTGTGTGTGTGTGTGTGTGTGTGTGTGTGTCACAAAGCTGGCTTCCCACTGTGCTCAAACAGCGTTGCCTTTAATAACATTCCTTTTGTTCTGGCAGGTAATCGTGGTCCCAGATAAAATCACAAATGTGCTCCTTCCAGATAATAGGATCTTATCAAGCTGCTCAGTAGCACAGAGATTTTTCTCCCTCCTCCTCCTTCATCTTTTTTGGGGGGTGGTGGGGTGGGTGTTAGGATAGGGCTTTAATTAAAATGGCAATATCAAACAGCTAAGGTTATCTTCTGTTGGCCTTGCATCTCTGAAACATCACTCTGTAAAGTATGAGGGGAGAAATAGCTTTCAGTTGGTACAGGAGGAAAAAAAGGAAATTGAGGAGGATTAAGTTATGTGCATATTAACCATCCAGGTATTGAAATAGAGTCTTATGAAAAACTGAAAGCAAGTT